CAATAACTTAAAAAGAGATTTAATTTAATTTGTTTTTGGGGAAAAAGATTACTGATTATTACTGATATATTTGCTATAAATCACATTACAGTATTTATTAAAAGAAATGAAATATTAATGTATATTCTCAGTAGTTTTAATTTGCTAAACCAGGTAGTTTTTCAAGTAATAATTGTCTCTTATGTGAACTGGGGAAAAATATAATTTCCAGATTTATTTTTTCAGGTGGTAATTTTTATTTTCACTAAAAAATGTTAAGTATCAATGTAATCATTTATATAATGATAGATTAGTACACAATTGTATGTCAACACATTATTTATTACCTTAAACTGTTATTATTAAAGGGTTGCGCTTGCGTAAAATTTACTATCGTGGAAATTCAGCTTTTTTGCTTTTTGGCTAATCTCATCCCTGAATTCTAAGCTCCCTTTTAATAAAAACTTGACAATAATTTAAAAACGAATTTAACTTTAAAGAGATATCTAAATTAAATTACTGAAAAAATTGATTAGTATATCAATAAAAAAATAATATATGTGTCAGAGTAAAGAATAAGATTTTGAGAAATGTTAAAATTGAATTAAATAGTTGGTAAAGAAGTTCTGTAAAACATGCATAGACTGGTAATTAAAAAAAAAAATTTTTTTAATACTACAGATTATTCAAGATTATGTTAGGTTACTCAAGGTTAAAATGCTAAAAAATTTAGGATGCTTAAAAATTCTAATTATAAAATATGCTTTAATTATAAATTCTAATTATAAAATATGCATTGGAGAAATGATAAATACATTATTCCAAATTTATTCATACTTATCTATATTATTGAAATTGTGTCAATTATTGAAAAAACAAGCTAAAAATTAAAGAAGCTGATTTATGATCACATTCTATCAGAGACATGTTTTATAAAACTCAACATTCATTGCATAAAACGTTTTTTATTCAAAAAAAATTTTAGACAACTTTATAAGAGACGTTGTATTTTATAATTCAAAAAAAAAGGATTAGCAACCGATTATTTGTGAGAAAAATATGAATGAAATTTTACGCGCATGTAAGTCAAGTTTCTCGAAAGTTTACCACATTTAAATATTTCTTCATTGTCTCCAAATTACTTTTTTTAAAAACAATTACGATTAATTTTTCTTGGCTTCAAATTAAAAAAAAAAACAGTTGAAACTTTATATTTTTCAATCGAAAAATATGTTGATTTATATAGTATTAAAAAATATTTGAAAACTTATAATTCAACCACAGTTAAATAATAATAAATAACTGTTAAAAAATATTTTTTGCATGAAATTATCTTTGGATAAATGGGTTTTATGAGTGAGATAATTTTTTTAATTGCTTAATTAGTTCTAAAAATTTAACTAAAAACACAAAAAGTGAAATTAACTTTAAGGGGTCGGAACTTTGGATCTCTCCCCTGAACAAACTACGAGGACCATATTTCCCTGATTCCAGCTGCCTCCTATATTTTGAAAGTTAATAATTCAAATACGTAACAAAAAATATATATTCAGAGAAAGTATGTTTTTGTGTCCAATTTTGTAACTTAATTAGTTGTTAGCATATAATGATTAGCATATTTGAGGTTGCCCATAGGAATCATTAAGATTAACACATAGTATGTGAAAATCGGATCATTAGAACGAAAGTTATTCAGGGTGATGTTTTTTGCGCACTGTACCTATAAACATAACTAACTAAGCATCATTGGCGTCGTTAATAATTTAGCGACTTTTTTAGGACTTTCTATGACAGCACAGTAACTTTCACTCTAAAGTTTTAAGATTTTTATGATGTAGGGAAAATAAGTTTAGCATGCATAACTTCAGTGTTGAAAATATTCGACAAGTGCCCATTTTTGTTTTCTTTTTAAAACTTATTTTTCCTGTGTTAGCACTATAATTCAAAACAATACAAATACTGTTTTTTTTTTCTTTTTAAGGAATGAAAAATTCTTCAGCCAATTCAGTGTTTTTGAAGGGAACTAGATTTTAGAGATTAATAATAATATTAATAGTAATTGATAGATTTTAACAATGGGTGTAACGAATAGAGATTTGGCCGACTACGAAATATTTGGCCAAAAATATTCAACACTCGAATAGCGATTTTATTAAATATAAATATTGCTTTTATGTGTAAAAAAGTTTAGTCCTTATTTATTTATTATTTACACATAACAGGGATGTGATTCTCCCGCTGATTCGCAGATTTCCGCTTTTTTTTTTCTCCAGATTTTTCCCGCTGATTTCCGTTGAAAATTTTTTGTGCAGAGGTTAAAATATTTTATGAGGAATTTAATTTTCCACAGAGAGAAAGTATTGAAGTCCTTATTCCTCCCTCTGAAGTTTCTCTAAAAATCATTTCCTTGGTATGAAACTGGTTGACCTTTATGCAGGGAAGAGATTTTTTGTCTCTCGAATTTCAGCCTTTTTATCAGAAACTCTGATTCTCTAAATGTTTCAGTTTTTTTTTTTTTTTTTATAAATATCTCCCTTTTTTATTGAAATTCAGTCATTGAAATTAAGGAATTATATTTATTTACAATTTTCAAAGATAAACAGAAAATTCAAACTACGTCCTAGTTGCTAACCCTTCCGTAATTTTAATTTATTTATCTATTTTCTCAGATTTTACCGTAAGATTTTTGTTATTCAGACTTTGCCGTTTTCTGTTGTCTGGTGTGAAAGCAAACGAAAAAAAAATGAAAAGGGAGATGGATTTGCATTGAAAATATTTATTTGCTCATTCAATTAATCTTGTAAATTTTTATTTATTATGTCTTATTAAAATATTTATTTGCTCATTCAATTAATCTTGTCAATTTTTATTTATTATGTTTAAACAAAAACAATACAAATAAGCCTTTTAGAAATCCCAAGACCAGACTCTGCAAATATCTTGATTCTTATTCTCACGATTTTAATATATTTACCTGATTTAAAAGTTGCGCATTTTCTTATTTACGTTATTTAAATATCATACTTTGCTATTCTTATTTGCAAGATTTAAAAATCCAATATCGCTTTTTGTATTTATGCATTTTTAAAATCGTGATTTTATTATCAAACATCGATTTTCGTATTTACCTGATTTAAAAGTTGAATGTTGCAATTCTTATTCAGGCTATTTAAATATCGTGCATTGCAATTCTCATTTACGAGATTTAAAAATCCAATATTGCGCTTTGTATTTCCGCTCTTTTAAAACCCTATGTAGCGATTCGTATTCACGCGCGCTTAAAATCCTATGTCGTGATTCGTTTTTGCCATTGTAATATCAAACATCGATTTTCATGTTTATAAGTTCTTTAAAAATTTACATTGGGATTTGTATTTACTTGATCTGAAAATTATGCATCATGATTTGTATTTTCGCATTTTTAAATTCAATGTAGAGTTTCATATTCACTTGATTTAAAAGCCTCATATCGGGAATCATATTCTCTCAATTTAAAATCATGTATGTGATTCACATTCATATATTAATACAATTTTAAAATTAATCATGGGGTTTTATAATCGCATGGTTTGCAAGTTTAAAAATCGCACTTTTTTGTCAATTTTTTGTATATATTCTTTGATTTCCTCTTTTTTACTTTCTGACCACTCTCATCCCCGATATAATCACACATTATTATTTACTACAAATAATCACAAATTAGCTATTTTTGGTTAGAAGTATAAATAAAAAAGCAACTAACAGCTAATAAAGCTAAGTTGTTAAGTTGGAAAAAATATATATAGAAAAAAAGATATCTTTTTAATTTTTAAAACAAAAATTTAATGCTAAATTTATATTTTCCAGCAAAAAAAATTATTAAAGCCTTAAAAGTCTATCAGGAATGCTTTTAACGAAAGATGAAAAATAAAAATCTATCTTAACTTTTAGAAGAAAGTTTTAAAACCGAACATCTCAGTTTTCCAATTATAATATTTTCAAGAAAAATTGAGGGGGAAAAATGTAAATAGAAACCCTCTAAGAAAGAGCTAGATATGAACCAAAACAAAAATCGTTCTTAATTTATAAACAAAAAATATAATTTAAACAATTTCTTTTTTTCACCTTGGCGTGTTTTTAGAAAAAAGAGATGATAAAAGAAAAATGCTATGGTATTAGGTTCATAACTACTTTTGACTACAATTCTGAAATAGTTATCCCTTAAACTGATTTAATGTGACTTATGTTTTAGATAGGTTTGTACAATTTCCGGTCATCCGTGCGACCTGTACCACTGGAAATCCACATTTCTGGATATCATGGAAAGCACTACTGCCCGAGAATGGCCCTCATGAATAAGCCTACATATCAAGGTGCCTACTTAACACTATCTTTCTTCTCTCAATCTTAAATGTTTCTCAAAATGATAATTATTGAATAACTATCAACAAGCAAACTGTTCTGTATTTTTGTTTAAATTGTAATAATAGAATCAAATTTAATTGATAACTGACGCAATCAAACCTCATCAATTCGAAATTGGCTGGGACTATCATAATTATTTCATTTTATAATCGATTTTTGTTTTATTCCATACAGCAGGAAAACTATTATGTATTATTAGTAGATGTTACGTACTACAATGATGTGTACAAACAATACTATTATGATAATGAAGCAAACAAATTGAAATTAGCTTAAAAGTTTTAACTACTTTAAACTATTTTATTAATTTGCCCATCTGCTACTTGTAACAAAGGACGAAAATGGAAATAGCATTGCTCAAAATGAATGATTGGTATTTTATTCACATGCTTATTATCTGTGCTGTGTTCACTTTCCTTTTTCATGTGCTTGAAAATTTCAAGTTAAACACGTAAAATGCAATAATAATTTATTGCTGACTCACAGGGCCAAACATGTGTTTCATGTAGAACAATATTTCACGCTAATAAGATAAGGTTCAGGTGCCTAACCATTTTCATCAAGCTTGATTTCATTACTAATCAGTTTTGAAATATCACCTGCTTTTGTTTAACATTGGTAAAATAAATGCTTAAGTGATTTTTAAAATTTTTTTCAGAATAGAGTTTTTACTAGTTTTAACATGGTGTTTTTTTTTAATTTTCGCTTTGCATCCTCTGTGTAAGACTTAATTATTTAGACTAAAACATGCATGTTTCTGATTACTTTAATATTTCATTGCCTATAGAAAAAGATTCTATGCTTTTGGAGAATTATGTTAAGCTTTAAGACAATTAATGAAATGTTCTCAAGATATGAGGCTGTCCTCAAGATATGAGGACATTTGGTCACATTAATTATTACACATCAATTTAGACAGCCTTAAAATTTATTTAGAGCTGTATTATATTTTAATAATGCTTCATAATTAGTATAGTTGTGTTTTATCCACAAAGACAATCTTATTTTTATATATTTTCTTACATTTTGCCTTTGGTTTTTTTTCCTTACTATGTTCAGTATAAAACTGTTTATTTAAGAATATGCTTTCAAACACTAAAATTTATGATTTTGTATTTTTTAAAATCGTAATGCTTTTAAATTGAATGAAATGTTTATCAATCAAAAAGTTTCACAGGTTTTAAGTTACCTATTTTTAGAACATCATTTAAAAAATAAATTTTAAAAAAAGCAGCGTGCATAACACAGTTGGGCTTAAATTACAACTGTAATTGATTAAACATAATTAGTAGTTTGTAATAACTTATTTGAAATCGGGAATACGGGTACTTAGGATTACGGGTAACCCTGACGTATGATTACATCTGTATAATGAAATTGTGAACTATTAAATTTTTTTAATTGCAGCAATCAGTTACTCCTTATTATCATCACAAGTTTTGATTGCAAGCACTCATAATTTTGATTGCAACTGTAATTGATTACAATAATCAATTACTTGTGCTTATTATAATGATCAATTACTCATGCTAAAACATGAAACAACATTAGGTTTGTTGGCAGAATTTTTTCATTAAAAAAATAATAATTTTGATTATTTGAGAATGAGTAAAGCTAGGCCTTAAAAATGAAGCTCATGAAATGAAGTTTGGGTAAAACTTTCAGGTTGGCAAGCAGGTATCTGTGGCCTTTACTATTCTTTTAAAAGTCAAAACTTTTAAAACATAATAAAAGAATCTGAATTTTAGCTTTTTACATTCTTTTTATTAGCAGTTACATATTTCATTAGAATCAGTGACAGCGGAATCATCTCAGGAATGGAGGGCTCTCTCCCCTCCCTGTAACATTATTTATTTTTATTCTGTGTCACTTTATTTCAATATGCCATTATTATTCTGTTCACTGTGACATATTAAACTAAGAATTTTCTTATCGGACAGAAATAGGAATGTCTTGTAACCTTTGCAAGAGGATGAGTGGGGGGTAGCAGTTTTTGCAAACAAAAGCTCACTTGAATTAGATAAATTTTTTCAAAAAAATTATCTTTTTTTTTTCTTTTTAATTTTTAATTAAATTTCAAGAATATTGAGTGAAAAATTTTAATTTTAAATGGGGCTGTATCACCTTTTTATAAAAAGTGAGCCAGCACTCCCTGATTGCAATTCATATTTCATTGCAGTAAATATTTGATAACCCAAACATTTTTCCACTCTCAATAGTTATCTTGATTTATATATTGTGTGTTGATAAATACTTCTTCCTTTTCCAGCTATTAAAACCCATTCTCCTGACAAACCAACTTTAGTATTTGTCTCGTCGAGACGTCAAACTCGCCTCACTGCACTCGATTTGATCTCATTTTTAGTAACTGAAGAAGAGCCTAGGCAGTGGTTGCATGTCAATTCAGATCATGAAGTAAGAATTGTTTCAACAATAATTTACCCAACCTTTTTTTTTTTTTTTTCGAGCTCAGGTATCCAACATTTCTACCTTCTTATACTTTCAAAACAATATGTCGACAGACTTTAAAAGAATCTGCAAATGAGAGCAGATTTTTATAGAAATAAATCATTTGAGAGGGCAGCGTGGAAGCAAATGGTGTACGGACATTATTGTAGTCTATCTACCACAACAAAAATATAATCCTTATTTAATAGCATATAAAACATGGTTAACTCGATTCTATGGTGGGGTACCTTAACATAGATGAGGGTTGACATGGGTGACCTTCAGACGTAATGTCTATCTTAACAGTAGATGGATGGTTCACATTGAACAGTTGGCTGCTACTTGTAACTGCGACATCATCCAACTCACTGTTGCTTCTCAGTCTCGATCATACACAACGTCAGCCAGCCCTGTATACACTCCATTGCTTATGAAGTGTTATTAATTTTGAGGCTAAAGAGTTTTTAAAGAATTGTTTCAATACAAATTATTCTGGGTCAGATATCTAAAATAGAAAACGTTTCTTGCAAATAACAAGTTTCTTAAATGTTATTTCAGTTGTTTATTAGAGGGTAAGCCATGCCAGATTTTTACATCCATTTTATTTTGATCACTTAATATAATAATCTTTACTTTAGTCACTTTAAAAAATAAAAATAAAAAGTTGTTATTTTAACATTAGTTTTTTTAGTAGAAACCCTGTAAATTAAATTTGTTTCATTCTTTATATATTGTAAATTTACACATTCTATTAAAAATATAATCCCAGTTTCTAACATTGTCTCAAAATAATGTAATGCGTGATTCGTACTTTTAAAAAGAACAAATAAGTTTTATATTTGAAAATAAAAATCTTCTTGCAGAGCCAATCGATAATAAGCCTTGTGCGAGATCAGAATTTGAAACTGACTATTGCTTTTGGCATTGGTCTCCATCATGCCGGCTTACATGAAAAGGACAGAAAACTAGTGGAAGAACTCTTTTTAAACGGGAAGATTCAAGTGAGTAGTACATTTACTATTTTTCCATATCTATATACACACACGCAGTAAAGCCTCGCTACAACAATATTTTAGGGATCAGATAAATATATTGTAGTATAGGGATATATTACTATACTTTGGGGACACAATAAGATTTTTATTTAATTTTAATGTTATGCATGTATTAACTATAAATCTGTTTATACAAAAATTTAATTTGCAGAGTGGTGATTATGGTTAAATATGACATCAGATAGGAATGTTACATCTGTGACTTCTTAAGAGATAAGAAAGGCAATTCTAAGAATGGAACAGTCTTGGGGGGTGGTCTATGTACATCAAGGATGGAGTATTGAATACAAAAGTCATTCACTGTGGTGAAAAGAAATAACATAAGTACATAATCAGCATTGGGACTCCTCTGGTTAGAAAAGAACGAAGAAAAAAAATGCCAAAATATAAAATAAGATTTTTTTACATTATTTGAAAACCAATAGTATGTCGGGAAAATAAGGTTGAAATTTGAAAATACAGTCAAACTATAGTGAACACGGCTTATAGTGAACTCCCGGGTATAGTGAACGAAATGCTCGGTCCCGTGCCTTGCTATACACGCATAATGTTATTATTAGTGGATATAGTGAACCTAAAATGTGAGGAAGTTGGATATAATGAACTTTTTTCTGTCTTCGACTGATTTCCCCCCTATTTTCTTTGTAATAATTTTGAAATTTCTACTTCAAAATAAATAGATAAACCGATTTTTAAAACCATCTATAGAAACTACTTTTATGTGCTCGAATGGCAGGTTAGACAGGCTTAAAAAGCGGAATAACAGAAATTCAGGAAAAACGTATCTGAGAGTCGGGAAGTGCTTCCATATCTGGTGTTGAGGATTGCTCATCAGCTAAAGATTACTAATTTTTATTTGTACGTAAGACGAAGAGTGATGGAAAATAACACATTTTTTGCTAATACATAATATTTTTCAGTCATTTATATGAATATAATGTAATAAAAGGGAGGAGTTTGGGAACTATAAGTGAAATTGCCTGCGTAACGGATATAGTGAACTCCCGGTTATAGTGAACCGAAATTTCGGTCCCTTGAAGGTTCACTATAGCGGGGTTTGACTGTAATAAAAATTGTTTTACAGGAGTTTATTGCTTCAGATAATATCGCAAGAGAGGAGGATAACATTAATACATATGCAAGTTTGTTGGGACCACGAAACATTATTGTAATAGAGGAAGTTGCTGTTGTATCAGATATAGTAGTAGTGAGAGTTCACTGTATGTATATATATTTATTTATTTATGTAACTGAAAGTGTTTTTTATAGGTTTTAATTGCAACAGCCACTTTAGCATGGGGTATTAATTTGCCTGCACATCTTGTGGTTATCAAAGGAACAGAATATTTTGATGGCAAAGTTCAGAGATATGTCGATTTTCCTATAACAGGTGAGATGATTCCCACTCCATTTTAGAAATAGAATTCCCAGACTTATCCAAGTTTTCCAGGAAAAAATCAGCAAAATTTTAGATTACATTATTGCAATACACAAAAATATTTCATCGGATATTTCTATTTATGATAGAAAATATGGCAAATATCGCATTCTATTTTCTAAAAAAAAAAGAGATCATTGAAATAATTAACATTCAGAGTTTAGAACGCACAAGTATATAAATAATTGATAAAGCAATATTTTGAACAAAATTGGAAAAATTTGAAGTTAATGCGACATAGTTTAATAATGGAGTCCAATCTGTGTGGTCGACAGTGAAAGTCAATAACCACCGATTTCGGTCATTTACAGTAACATATATAGAGAGAGAATTACACAAAGGAAACAGAAAGTAAAGGAGGAAACAATAAAAACTATTTTTTATGAAAAATACTAAATTTAAATGTAGGCAACAACAAAAAGATATGATCCACCTGCATTGTTATATCGAAAAGAAAAAAAAAACTAGTGTTTTCTGATATTGTATTGTAATATTATCAAAACAAAATATATGATTACTGAGGGAATATATGAACACTATGGGATAAAAAATATCAAACCATTTACATAGATGTGTTTTAAACAAGGATCATAAGTTTAAAGTCATTTGTGCTAGGAATGACACTCAAGGCAGTTTTACTGGTATATTAAAAATGATGAACTAACTTTTTCTTTTTTTGAAATATCGTATTTAGTACATTTATAACGGTAAAATACCAATCAAACACCTGCTAAATATTGTAATGAAATATTAGTTACAGAGTATCTGCCCACCTGGAAAGTCATCGCTGATTATACTTATAGCTACAAAATCCCAGATATTTGTTCCGTCTTCACTGCGGAAGCTGTTGCCATCCTATTTGCATTGCGGCTGATTTCTTTACGCTCCGAACTAAAGTATTTTATATACTCCGATAATAAGATAGTTTTGAACCAGCTAGAAAATTTTCGCAGCGATATTCACCCAATCTTATGCTTCATTAATTATTTATTAATTGCTCTTCACAAGAAAGGATTTGATATTTTATTTTGCTGGATACCGAGTCACGTCGGTATCCCAGGGAATGAGTTGGCTGTTCTGCAGCACGATCTGCAACTACTGAATTAACAATATCTGTACCATTCTCAGACATTACACTACATGTTCGACAGTTCATCTCGTCCCTTTGGCAACAGCATTGGGACCTTCAAACCCAAAATAAACTTTATAACATCAAACCATATATAGACCCCTTACCTGTATTACTTTTATGTAATGCAGATGTAAAGCTTAATCGTCTCAGAATCGGCCACACTCGACTCACGCATCTTCCTCCCAAATGCGAGTAATGTTTTACTTACAGTTCATCACATTTTAACCATTTGTCCTTGTTTTAACCAACATTGTCTTACATTTTTTAAGAGCACGATTTTATGTATGAAGGATTTGTTAGATGATATTCATCATTCTAACATTTTCGCATTTCTGCGAGCTATTGGTATTTTATATTGCATATAACTGTTTTATCTGATTTTATTCACTCTTATTTCCTATCCATGAACCGTTTTACCTTTTCTGTGTATTTTATAGAATTACGCTTTTTATTGATTTTTGTGAAGTTTTGAAAATACGTGTCTTGAGATAAACAATTTTATTAGTTTCATTTATTTTATGACAATGAAACTATTGTGTGCAATTTACCATTAGATCTAACTCAACAAATTGTTTGGCGCAGCATATCCTCCTTTGGATCTTGTGCCATAAAACTTCTACATTCAATCTATCAACCCACCTGGAAAGTCATGGATTTGGATATCGAACAAAATTTGTCATGATTTAAACCATTTTTCTAAACAAAGCATGGTAAGCCGAAAAATCAACTTTTTAAAATGGAATTTATCCCCTCCTTCCAATTTCACAGTGTTCCGATGTTTCAACTCTCTAAATTTTTAGCAAAATCCCCACTCATAGTCATATTCTATTAAAGTATAAAATGTTTTTACCCTGTTCTTTAAAAATTATGATGTTCTTTCAAAGAATGAAAGAAAGAAAACATCATTTTTAGAGTGAATTATCTTTTAAACTTGTGATTTTAGAATTTTTTTTATTTTATCAATTTAAAATTCCAGTTTAGGCTTTTTATGTTACACTTACTTTAAAGAAGAAACAAAACAGCTTTATATAACTACATATATCTGACTGTATTTAGTTTTTTGCTTTTTTTTATTTATTTTTCAGCTATTTTATATTGCTTTAACTCTTTCTTTACTCTGTTTTTAAGTTTAAAATCAATAAATATGAAGATGCAGAGTATAACAGTTTTAATTATACCTATCATTTCAATGAATGTTATTTTTTTAATGCTTTTTGAAATTTATTGTTACGTTTTTCTGGAGAAAAGAGTAACTTCGAAAAGTCGTGAAAAATTCTTGAAATTATTCATGGAAAATCATAGATTTAAAAATCTACATTGTAGCAGATACCCTGTACAAATTATTTAAAAATAGTATAATAAAATATGGGTGATGGAAAATGAGGTATTAAAAGTATATTTTGTGATGTAAACCAGGCCCCAAACTAAAGAATTGAGATAGCATGTTAATAATAGGGCATTTTGAATAATATAAAATTTTTGTTGGATATTGTCAATCATGGATAGGAAAATATAAAATATCAATCTTAAAGTAAAAGTCTCAATCACAAAGCAAATAAAATGTAGGTCAAAATTTTTTTAACTGTTATTCATCACACAACAGCAACATTGTCGCAGAAAGTTACAGAGCTCATGCAAAATGATTTTTCATTCTAAAAATACAAATTTTTTCTTTTCTACATAAATTTACAACATAAACTTCCTAAAATTTGCATGAAATCACCTAATCAACGTAAAATGTGCATAATATTTAATTACATATTTATGTAATAATTTAGATAATCACTATTAGACATGCTCTCGATTTGCACCAATAGTATCGTAAATCGATGTAATGTTTCGAATGTATTTATGGCAGTTATTGATATAGATTCTCCCATGGTTTTTAAATATCCCTATATATTTCAAGCAATATGGAAAGTTCGAATCGTTCATTCGATTACTTACTTTTTACGGCAATAATTCTATCGCATTTGACAGTTATTGCTATTGATTTCTCCATAGTTTTTAAATCTGATTAGGCAATTCATGTTTCTTTCTCTCTCTTTTCTTAAATAAAAGTTGATTTTTTAAAATCAATAAAATTGTACAGTACAAGACCATTTATCCGGTATCCGGAAAACCAGGTAAAATTTTGCTTGATTTTCCCTCCATTTCAAAAATTTAGACATCCGGGATAACGATGGTCCCGAGCATCCCGGATAATTGGCTCTCTACTGTATAATTAAATATAAACCTTATTAATTATAAACTTCTTTAAATTATCATGTGTAATATTACCTTGCACACATCCATTTTCGGGCCAATCCTCGGCAACTAACAAATCAAACGTGCTTCAGTGCTGCAGTAAGAACACGCTGTAAAGCAAAATCCTTCTATCTATGCTTTTACTTCAATTTGCATTTCTGTTTTCATATTTTGTAATCCGGTGATCTTATTACGAAAATATTTTAAATCATTCTTGAAAATTTTACTGTTCATGTAAGTTCATTTGAATTGGCTACTCGTTTTATAGATTTTGTTTATGTTTTGTTTTTTCGTTACATTTTATTTTCTGTTTTTTTATGTGATATTTATTACTTAATGTGTTCGATTCTATTTTGTTTTTTAAAAAAAAAAAATTTGAGTGCTCCTCACACTATTTGAGCGCTCTTCAAACTATTGTATTCATATATTTTGCTTTGGCTGTATTGATACAATATTAGAAAGCACTCCTTTTTGCGGATATTATCGTGTGAGCTGATGAAGGGATTATATTTTTTTCCTGATTTTTATTGATTTTATTTAAAAATAATTTTCTTTTTTTCATCATTCTGTAATTTTTTTCATGATTTCTCTACATTGTGAACTCTCTACATTGTTTTCTCTACATTGTATGTATATATCTACATATATGTATATATAAAAGTATACTAAAAGAAGTATGTTTTTCTTTTTAACTATTCTTAGAAAGTATTAAAAAAAAATTTTTGATCATGTATGATTTTAACTACTTTATTGCTTAGTAAAAAACAGTTATAATTTATCTGAAGTATTTTTAAAGAACTTAAATTTCTATTCTACAGACGTGATGCAGATGGCAGGCAGAGCGGGACGTCCTCAATTCGACACAACTGGAGTAGCCGTGGTCTTAGTTCAAGACATCAAGAAAGGATTCTATCAGAAATTTTTGCATGAACCTTTTCCTGTTGAATCAAGGTTGTTTTTTTTTCTAATGCTATTTAGAATAAAACTGAATAGGAATTTGTAGAGGGTGAAAAAAATACTGATCAGTGAATCAGTACTAAACAGCACTATAAAAAAGATAAATAGCGACACAAATAATGAAACCGAAATTATTCCAAAGTTATTCCTAAAATCCAGAAATCTATAAAATCTGGACTCTTACATCCAGTTCATCAGAAATAAAAATTTAAATGTGAAAGTGCGAAACTGCAACTTTTGTTGAACAACGAAGCAATAGAAGAAGAGGTGAGGGGAGTGAATGAAACCGCATAGCTGATAAGGAAACTCAAGTCATTCTTATCAGAGCTATATAGATAAGGCGTGCATGAGGTGGCATTCTTCTACCACCTTGTTTTGGTGGGTGGAGCGAAACAACTTACGATTTTCGATGTGTTTAAGAAATAATTTGGTTAACATTTAATTGATTTTGTTGATTTAAATATATTTTTATTTTAAGCTATTTTTTGTCTCCGTTTCATTTAATATCTCTTATTTATTCATGGTGCGTAGCGTTTTTAAAAAGTGCTTAAAGGTGCTTATTTTCAATTTTCATTTTTTAAAAGCCCTTAAAGGTACTTTTTTTATTGGGTGTTTTTGAAAAGTGCTTAATTGTCCCTTTTCGAAAATGAGATTTATGAACTGGAATGTCGATTTTCGCCATGTATTATGTAAAAACGTGCTTTTCATATTTTTCTATTCAACGTTTTCAGAATTCATCTTCATCAACCACAATCAATTTCAGTGTACCATACCGTCAGTCCATAACGTATGAAACCGCCAATCATTTTACAGGTTTGATGAAGTACTTGGGAGTCCGCGTGTGCGTCTAGTGAGCTGGGTTTGGTAAGATTCTTGCACTCTCCTGTTTCAACTCTGCTGCATTTTGCGAGATATTCTCAATTTCAAGCGTCATTTTCCACCCTCTGAAATCGAACCAAAAAATCTCTTGATCAATTTTTAATGGCTAATATAATCAGGGAAAGAGTTCTTCGTCAAATTCTAGTTATTTTGTCATGATCTTTGAAAATTATTTTGCACTTTGTTAATGTACATAGTGCTTAAAAATATTTTTTGAGTGCTTAAAAGGTGTTTATTTTTTGTTGAAAGATTAAGCTACGCACCCTGTTATTGTTTAAAGCGTATGTTTATGTTAAGTTGTTAAAAACGATGTTGGAGGTCTACACGTGCGCGTTTAATCAGGAAATTGTTTCGGGCAAATTCAAAACTTCAATAATTCTATCAGTTTAAGTAAGGATTCTAAAATTCGTAGATCCGGACTTTCCGAAACCCTGTGCAATCCGGATTTTCAAGGTATTTAATAGTTCATCTCATTAAAATAAAAATTAATCATCTGGTGTAGTGCTGATTTTCTTCATATTAAATTTAATTTGCTCTAATTAGCACTACACCAGTATCATCTGGTGTAGTGCTGTTGCTTGAGGCAACTCCTGCTATTTAAAAGTTTATCACAGACTGTATTTATGTCTTTAAAAGTCCGTAAAGAATTTAAAATAAAAATGTACAGTAGTGGTGATACTGTTAACCTCATATTTTTGAAGCCAATGAGGTTTTTCTATCAAGTTCATAGTTTAAAGTTATTAAACATTGTAGTTTACGTTTTTGTGTATGTAAATAATAAAGAAAGACTTGTTCTGCCGAGAGTAATGTAGAATAATAAATTGTTCTCTGTTCTAATTGAATTTACTCCTCATTTGACATCTAACTATAAAATTTTGTTTCTGTCTCAACTAATTCATAAAAGCTTTGAACTTTAAGAAAAAAACTATTATTTTATTTCTTTAGTGATAATTACTTAATTATTTTAACCATTTTAATGGTTAATCTTATTTATAATCAGGACATGATTCAAGTGATTTGTCTATAAATTCTTTTTGAGGTTTTTATTTGAATTATGTTTTTGTTTTTTTGAGTAATATTTGGTTGCATATTGTTTTTCACAATTTTGTTTAAAAACAAATTAAAACCCTTTATGAAATGTGCACATTAATTAAACGAAACAATATCCGCTCATCCTTTAGTAGGCTGGTTTGATCAATTTAATTATTCATCACATTCCAGTTAGCGTTGGCGTAATCACTTGATCTAAATCAAATGTTTTTTGAAAACTATATAATTGATTTTAATTAACTGTGACTTTTTTCAATAGAAAAGTTTTGTTCTTCCCAAAGTAAATTTGAAGTTTTTTTCATTCATATATTTTGATCTAAACTATTTTACTCTTCATTGGATATCTAACTGACAAATTGTTTCCCTGCCTCTTAAATTTTAGGATATTAAGCTAGAACAAAAGCAGCCATGATTTTATTTATTTAGTTATAATAATTTTCAATCACGTTAGTTAAAAATAATTCAGTAATAATTTTCCTTAATAAATTTTTGATATTAACCCCTTAACAGTGACATACAGTTCAGAAAAATGGACCAAAAATGGAAATTTTCTTTGACAAAAAAAAGAAATGGACCTAAAATTGAAAATTTATTGGATTACACCCACATCTTATTCAATTAGAGCAAATTAAACAAAATTTTGAAGCTAAATATAACACAACAATATGATTTTCAATACATACATTTTACAAATCTTTTACAGTATGGTATATGCCGAAACACTGTACTTCACAGAAGCCTGTGTCTCTTGTCTTATCCTCTTTCCTGAATCGGGTGTGTTAATCAGACATTGCTAAAAAAGAAAATTATTTGCAAAAAAACTCACTGATAAGCCGAACTAAACGAGAAAGCGAAACTCTGTCTTCGTTTATCAATCCAAGTGTTTATCTGAGCAGCTGACAACACCCACATTTTTCCATCCTCGATTGAAGTCGCAATCAGGGAAAAACTAGGACCACTAATGCCATCTATTAGGAAAATAGTGAATTAACTATCCTAAAGTAGAAACGAACTCAGCTCTGGCTTCACAAAATGGAAACGTTACTTTTTCTCCTGCCCGAACTGGATTTGGACAACACTGACAAAATGAATAAAATAAACTCAATTTTTTAAAAAAAGATTTTTTGAAATGAATTGATTTAAATTGTGATTTTAATCTGAGATATATTAATGCTAAATATTTATTTTTCATTAGCCTGATAGGTGTTTTGCCCGAACATTTAAATGCAGAAATAGTTGCTGGCACTATAAACTCTAAACAGCAGTGCTTAGATTATCTAACTTGGACTTATTTCTTTCGAAGATTGTTGAAAAATCCCACGTAAGTATAAAACCATTTATATTACATATTGAAAGCTTTTAGTTATTTTTTTTTATAAAATAACAAGCTTGTGGGTCAACTTACAAATGAGAAATAGAACCTGTAGATGAATGTTAACTACATACATAGAAGTCTGTATTTTAAATTTTTTTCATTGTAATTATATAAGAGTCTTAATTTTTTCTCTTAAAATTAAACCACAAATTGTAAAAAAGTTCACTTTCAGCTGCTTTTACCAGCAATTTTACTGTAATTTTTATGAAGGGCTGTTTAACTTTTGCAAATTAATAGTTGTTCTGATTTCAGCCCTTTTAAATTGTCAAAAATTTGTTAAAAAAAAAATTTCAGTGTTATAGCATTTAAACAGCAAATTCTTTCTCTGTCCTTTTATTTCTGTCTGTAAAAGTTTTGTTGCTGGGATTTTTATTCGCATTTTGAGGTTCATAAAAGCTTTGCTCTTGTGTTTTTTGCTTATGATAGAGAGAAAAAAGCAGACGTGCCAACTTTTAAAGCTAGCTATCAGTAATCAAAAGTTCAATAGCACAGAAATGAATTTACAGGTGGTAACAATGAAATTGTAGTGCTCATCGGTACAATTTTAAAATGTTTATACATTTTATAGTAATAAAATTATGCATGTGTTTAATGCATAAAAGAATAACATTTAGATAAATGCCAATATAGCCTAACTGGTTGGGCATTGGGCCCATGTCCTTGAAATCGTGAGTTCGATCCATGTCGGCAAAAGTGCAGAATTGTGACTAGTGCATCTGCAGGGTCACAAAATCCTCCAAGTTTCCATAATAAGTCAATACCTCTAAGGGTACTGAATCTGAGATTGATTGAGCTCTGCTTCAGGTCAAAATTACGATCTGTGTGAATGTATCCTAACCGATGGTGTCTCCAGATCATTCTCAGGGATGTTTTCCACACCCTCCCAACTATGTGCAACTGTAAATAAAATACCTAAATTACGAATTAAATAGTTTATTAAATTATTACTTTAAATCAATGCTCTAGTTTTTGGTTAAATTAGAGATTGCATTTAAACCACTAAACAATTTTCCTCACAGTATTTCAGTTTTGTTCTTTTGATTTTCTTGTAAAGAGAATTGCTCTTTGGAAGGGGAAATTTCTTGTTTTGATCGTTTTTGTGTTTCATTTATTATTTTTATAATTGTTTTAAGAAAAACTAACATAAATTAGTTGCTAATGACTAAATTCCAATAATTAGTTCCAACAAAGCGGAAAAAACTTATTTTAAACAGATTACTGTTGAAATTCCCTGAAACCGTAGCTTTTATTGTTTAACAGGAGGACTATAATCTTGAATATGAAATCGCTATAATTACTGACAAATCGTAATAATTACTGATAAATCATAATAGTTGGCACACCTGCAAAGTCTTAAGTACAGTAAAGGTGTTATAATTAACTGTAAAAAGATTTAGGAGTGCCAATAATATTAGCTAAACCGTAAAATATTGCATCATTTTTCGATAAGATTTTACTAGATTAGTAATTATTTTTGAATTTCCATTTTTTTATATGGATAAATTGTGCAAAATTGTTTACATTTTTACGGAATTAAAAAAAGTTTTAATTTTTGAATGGTTTCAAAAATAGTAAAAATTTATCTAGTGATAATTACTTATTACTATGAGAACCTGGTAATTTTTAAAAATAGTTTAAAATCTTTCTCATCATTTATACTTGCAAAACAAATGTCTATATTTGCAATCGTTTAAAATCGTGGGTTTTTCCTATTAAACTTTAAAATTGTCAACAAAAATACTACTTTGCAACTAATTAAAGTTAGCTTCGTCAAAACTGCTTTTAATAAAAATTTCATCTAATAATGTTTTATATATTTCAGAAAAATAAATACAAAAAAGTCTCGACTTTTCATGTACTTTTGCCTTTAAATAAAAGATAAGGTGATTTTATTAAAGATCTATTAATAAAATTGTTTTGTATCAATCTTTCCTAACCCTTCTGTTGTCTGAGTAAAAGTTCATTCTGAGTAAAACTAGCCCAAAGAAAACTACTGAAATTAAAATTATATAAAAACTAGGTTTTTTTCTTTTGAAAACGTTAGAGAGAGTAAAAAATTATGTATTAATAATACATGATTCTATATTATAATCATTACTTGATGGTAAAGTTGCATTCTTATTCATTTATATTTTCTTATAAGATTTATTTCTGTACAAACAAGTGTTGCACTGTAAACCACTATATTTTATAACCATTGTTGAACATCCGACCCAATTCTTGAGTTTTTGACGACAAATGTTCAACACTGTAGCCTTGTAATTTTGAACCCAATCCAGAAGACAAGGGAACTCCTGGTTGGTTGGTTGGTGTCGTATCCTCTATAGAATCATATTTCATGGTGTGCTTGAATAGTTTTTGTTATTTCTATGGCATTAAAAGAATACAAATCCTCTTCTGTGGGGTAGTTTACGAGGTGAAGGCCTGCAGCGACTGCAGGGCAGTTAAAAACATGATATGGTGTCAGTTCCACATTAAGACAGTTGCCACAGTTTTGATATTTTCTAGTCTTATCTGTTGAAATTTTCATGTTTTTATGATGTTTTGTTCTTAGTCTGATGAGAGTAGTGGCTGTCTTCCTATCGATGTCAAGATTAGTTATTTGATCGGCTGATACCTTTGGGTGGTAGGAGGGAAATAAAATACCTCCCGCGGACCAACAGGCAGAAGTCCAACCTCTTCGTAGGCTCTGGCAACCCCCCCTCCTCAAGGGAACTCCTGGATCAAGTATTGGAAGAAATTTTCCTTCGTGGAGGACTTTTTGATGGAACTAACCCACAGTTGCTTTACATGGAGAGGAAAACAGCCCACAATTATCCTAATGGCAAGGGGACTATAACCCATAATCCGTCTTCCACTGAGGATATTTTTATGTCAGCGCTGTGGTAGGTGGTAGCCGGTAGTAGAATTCGCATCAGCCAGCCATTGCTGGGATTCAAAGGCAAACACTATATCCCCTGAGCCATCACAGCTCAAACCACTATCGACCAATTTGCTTCTATTCTTCTGGAAGAAATTAGAGGTAGAAAATGTTTCTCTTGATTAGCCCTCCTGTCACACGGTTTCGTTCTGAGAGGAACGAAACCGTGTGACAGGGTTTCGTTTTTGCTGATGAAATTAGTGAAACACTCAAATTTGTGCCGATTAATAGAATATTAAGCTAAATTACAATTTTAAAAAGAATGCTAAATCTTCAGTAATAAATTATTCCAATTATTGAGAGTTCCATAAGTAATAACATTTTAAAGAAACTTACAGAAGAGTCATATAACTCGCAACAAAATTGTTAAATATTGTTTAATATTGTCAACTTTATTTTATTTACTTTCATTCCTCTAAAATATTAATTTTAGTTTAATTTACAATTCTTGTTTAATTGTAATTTGGAAGGAAAAAAAATTTTTTTTGACGTATTAAGTTAGTGCACTAAGTTCAGCTTTATTTCCTAAATTGCTATGGCATGCTTATAGGTGTCTTATAATTAAGTGAAATGTAAGTATTGCTTCCTTTTAATTATTATATTCCTGTTTAGCATGTTGATTTCCTTCTTATATTGAGAGTGTCAGATTTTCAAATCATAATACAGTTATACTCTAAAATTACAAACTCGAAGAGAGAGGCACAAAATATTTTAGAATAATGCCAACTCGAGGAATGCAAAATCAAATCATTTTGCCAAAATAACCTTAAAGGTGTTTTTTTTGGGGGGGGGGCTGTTTTTAAAAAGTGCTTAATTTTCCCTTTTTGAAAATGAGATTTCTTCTTTTTTTACCATGTCGATTTTTGCCATGTATTGCAAAAAAGTAGTTTTCACATTGTTCTATTCAACGTTTTCACAATTAATTTAAACACAATGTATTTTGGGGTACTGTCGACCAGTAGCGTATAAAATCGCCAATTATTTTACAAGTTTGAGGAAATACTTGCAAATCCGCATGTATGTTTACTGTGCTTGGTTCGGTGAGATTACTGCACTCTCGTGTGAAACTCCGCTGCATTTTGCAAGATATTCTCAATTTCAGGCTTCATTTTTCGCCCTCTGAAATCAAACCGAAAAATCACTCGATCTTTTTATGGTGGATAATATAATCAAGACGAGAGTTCATATTCAAAAACTAGCTATTTTATCATGATCATGTAAAGTCTCTGAAAATTATTTTGCATTTAGTTAATGTATATGGTATTTAAAAAAACATTTTTTAGTGCTTTAAAGTACTTAACATGTGCTTATCCTTGTTGACAGATTTGGCTAAGCACGCTGTTAGGTTTTCTTAGTTTTTCTTCCTTCTAGCATATTGTAACACCTTTTTATATTTCTGATTCTTCTTTTAACTGCCTACATTATATGCTTCTTCATAATTTTTAGTTTCTCTTCATTAAACGTTTTTTCTGTAATAACTGTTTACTAAAAATTTTTTTTAATTACAGGTTTTACAGGCTAGAAGATGTTGAAGGTGAAAAGATCAATAGTTTTTTGTCAAGTTTAATAAACCACTGCCTGAAGGTGCTGTCAGACGCAAAGTGTGTTGTTATAGATGATGTACGTATCTTCATCAGAATTAACAAAATGTTTCAATTGCAGGGTAGCCACTCCACATGGAAAACCTGGAAATTACAGAAAGTTTAAAAATTGTTTAAAATAACGGGGGAAATGTGTAGAATTTTGATTTTTCTTTTCCTACAAACTGGGAAAATTTGTTAATTTTTGTCTATTAAAAGGTGACTTAGTAATAATGGTGAAAAAAGTGTTATCTATGGGATATTTAAACATGATATCTAAACATGATCTTTTAACCATCAATAATAAATTATTTATCTTTTACTATTCAAAATTATGATTTAACATAATAGAAAATTTTTTAATTTCATTTAATGTTGTTCATAAGTGGAAAATATCGCAAACCGTTTATAGTTTAATAAAGTTTTGTATTTTGATGACAACAAAAATCCTTAAAATTCCCTATATGTAAAAATATTTAGTATATTATGCAACAGTTATCATGAAATTTATATTATTCCGTATAATTTGCAGAATTTTTCCCTATTTATGTTGACAGCTATGATTATTTTATTTTGCAACATTTGATTGAATTGAATGTGTATTCTGCATCATCACAGCTTTCTATTGAATCAAAAAAATGTCTTTTTTGTCTTTTTTTTTTAGAACAAACTTAGAAATTTGTTCTTTGTTGTGTAAACTGTTGTCTGATTTTAAATTAATAAGCCTCAAAGATTTTAAATAAATTAAGCTTTCAGCAAGGAAAAATGTTTTTACTTGTTTTTTTTTTCTTAGGAAAAGAAATGCAAATAATCAACATATTTTTTTATTTTATTAATAAATACAAGGAACTACAAAACATTATACACAAGATTTAAGTTGAATTTTTAATTTTTTTATACGTAAAAATTATTTAATTTACCATCAATTTACTATCCCGTGTTATACAAATGAAAAAAGTTAAATATTAGTCTTTGTATGATAGTTTTTTAAAACAAGGAGCAACACAAAGTAATTTCCCAAACACTAGTGAAGTGATACGCCATTTTTGTTTGTTCTTTTTTTTTCTATGCAAATTCAGTAACCATCGTATATGCAATTGCGCAAAGTGTACAGTCCCACAATCCAACAGCAAAAGTTGGCAAATTTCCAAACACAGCAGATTATGATTTGTTTGCTTCCAGCCGAGTAAAAGTGTGATAAAATAAAAATAAAAACTGGCAAATTCAGCTATGCCCGAGTTTCCCCGTGATAATAAATATTTGCAATCTGTACATACCCGAGTTAACTGGGAATAATCAGGGAAGCTGTTAAATTGGTTTAAAATCCCAAAAGTAACAATGAGCTAGCTTTTTCTACAGTAGCCTGACAAATTTCTATCAAGCTTAATGTTTTTTGGGATAAAGCATTTATCCCAACAATAACGTAGTTGTTCACCTAAATACATGCTGCCATAGTGGTTACATAAGCACAAAAAAAAAAGCTTTAAAATGGAAAACAACTGTTCAAAACACAAAGGGATGATAAATTAATATCTTTTACAGATCAGGCGTCAAAATTCTTTTCTGGGTGTATTTGTCTCGAGGATAAAAAGATTTCTGTTGTCAAGCATAAATTTCTTATTGATATGAGAGGATCAATTGATTTGCATGTAATAAAAGGGCTGAAATTACTCCTGAGATTTCCCTTTCTGTGTCATTTTATTCAAATGACAGCCAACTTTTTCTGATGATACTTGCTGTCCTATAATAAGTGTACTATAATTTCAGGAAAGCATTGATGCGCTGATTACTTTATTACCAGTCTTAATAAATGTATAGAACAAAGAGCTAATAATTCTGACATTATAGTGCCACAGTTTCATAGTTAAACGAACAGTGAAGTTGAGAACAGCAGCTTTTCGAGTATGTGGTTTTAATGCTCGAAAGGCCAACATAAGATTGACTTTGCTATCTCAGCAAGATTTCAACTAAAATCCTAATTTGTACCAATTTTGCTAGATGATGACTCTTATTTGTTAATTTAGTCCCCATTAGGTAGGGTTGGTGGAGAAGCACTAGTTGCAGTTGACTCTCTTGTTTAGGGTGTTGAATTTCTAGTCTCAGAGGAGGCAACTTTGTTCCATGAGCAAGTATATAACTTTGTTTTTGTGACTTAAAAGTATATTTTTATTGCAAGTACGATTTCCTTACTAAAATATATGATTGTTTAACCTAATTAATAAAACTGCAAATTTTGGTGTTCGTATTTGAAATTTCAAGACTGTACTTCTCACAGAAGGTGTTACTTGATTTGAAAAAAAAAAATTTTGTAATATCCATATGAAAAAGCCACTTTTGGTATTACATTTCGCTATTTAAAAAAAAATTTAAATGAGACATCCTGTAATGATAGCCTGTAATAAATTACTTTTTTAGGATGAAAGAACAGTCTCCCCCACAGTGTTGGGAAAAATAGCATCTTATTACTATTTGAACCATAAGACAATAATGGTGTTTACGCAACAAATACATAAAGAGGCTACCATTGAAGAAATGCTTCAAATCATGTGTGATACTCATGAATATAATGAACTTCCTGTGCGCCACAATGAAGATGCACTGAATATGTAAGTGTTTCTAATCATACTATTGTTTGACTTTGTGTGCCTCCATTCCTACTTTGAAATCTTTAGTGTTCAAACAAAGTATATTTTTTTTTCAACACAAAATCCCAGCAAATCATACTTTAAAGTTCATTTTGAAGTGCGCTGCAGCCCAAGGCTGTCTCAGTAAGCTTCCTCTAATGGACCTAATCACATGCCATGGGACCGTTATGGCTCAGGGGATAGAGCATTCTCCTTCCAATGAGATGTATCAAGTTTGAATCCCAGCGATGGCTGGTCATCACGAATTCCAAATCCAGCTTGCACCAAAAACAGCTCTGATATAAAATATCCTCAGTGGTAGACGAATCATGGGTTAAAGTCACCTTGTGGTTTTCCTCTCCATGTAACGCAAATGCGAGCTAGTTCCATCAAAAAGTCCTCCATGAGAAATTCTCACAATACTTGATCTAGGAGTTTCCTTGTCTTCTAGATTGGATTCAAAATTACAAGGCTACGGAGTTGAACATTAGTAGTAGTAGTCGGTTTGTGCATATTTTTTACTCCGCTAAATGTAAGTGCGTATATTATTTTCATTTTTGAATTTCTTTTTTTAACTTACGTGATAATGCATGATGTATCCGAACTTTACATGTAGCCTAAGAAACGTCTCTAGTAAAATCTCTGTTATTTTATTTATCCAATGTCGGCAGGTATGCAACTCTCACAATAACCTTTTGTGGGTGCCTTCATGAATCTCAGTCCTGCACTGGACTGATCGTGAAGAAACGGTTTCTAATAGAACACCAAAGTCAAGCATTGCTGGCTGCAGTAACTTTGATTGGCCAGCGGGTAGGTGACCACTTTGATCGGCCTGCATAGGGACCGGGGATGCCAGGCATCGTCCCTCGTCGAACTGTTCGACCTTTAAGTGCTCTTTCATGCGGAGGTTGTCGGGCCACCGAGGCAGGGATGCCATCTCTTTTGTAAAGGATCAAAATTGCAATGGCATGTCTTTGGAGCATCCCCTGGGATGTTTCTCAGACCGTCAACAATAACCCATTGTACTACTCTATTGCGAAGTACCTACCTATCACGAATCCCATTCTATCACTTACAATAGGAGGCACTTCATCATTTCATTTTAAACTATTCTACCTCATCAATATACAGTGAAACCTCCTGTTATGGACACTCCTGCAAAACGGACGCCTCTCAATACGGACATATTTTTAATTCCCCGGGAATCTTCTATGAATAAACCATTACGTACATTCTCCCCAAAGCGGACACTCCTGTAACCGGACGCGGACAGTCATTTTGATCCTGAAACCTTGTTTTTAATCTCTACAAACCGGACACTACTTTTTCTAAATAAATTGCAAGCTAAAAAAAAGAAAAATTTCACCATTTTTAAAGCATGTAAATTAAACTTTTTGCCTTATCCATAACTAAAAATATTGTTAAGCTATTTCACCACCGAAAAATCAATCTTTCTCCTGTCACCTTGCCTTATCTTTGTAAAGAAAGGAGAGAAAATGGTACTGCACTCC